AGTCATATGTTTCACAACATAAAAAAGATCAACGATCGATTTTGTCACATGTGATAAAACGAATGTCCACTATGCTTATTTTTATATAGAGGTAATTCTATATATCACTTAATATATCACTTAATATTAAGAAAAAACAATAACAAATGAGCTATTGGACATTCTTATAATTGGTAATTATTTCCGTTGATCATATTTTGATTTTATCACGCAAAAAAGCAAATTTGATTGGCCCAAATAAATTACAAAAAAAAGAATTTTATTTTTTATGAAGCTTCATAAATTCTTGTGTGTATCTTGCTAACCCAACATTTAACCAATTATAAAAAAGTGCAAGTTTTACAAAGTATATATTGGAAGCAAATTTTTATTTGTCTTATTTGAGGCATGGACAATAGAAACAAGGCCAACATCTATCAATCATAAATAATGTTTTTTATTAGTGTGTACTTATCTAATATGTAAAAAATAAAAAAATAATATGTTTACAACTACCTTTTATGTCTCAAGTCAATCAATCATACAGCATCCATGTATAAATAACATTTTTTATTAGCATGCACTTTCCAATATGTAATAAAAAAATAAAAAAAAAATAATATATATGTATACATTTATGACTACCTTTTATGCCTTGAGTCAATCATGTATAAATAACATTTTTTATTAGTGTGCTTATTATTATCCCAATATGTAATAAATAATATGTATGTGTGTGTTGCTCTAGCACAATTACCTTTATGTCTAAAGAAATAAATGAAAAAGAATAAGAAGTGTAATTGAATCATTAATTTTTGCACACCTTGGTAAAATATATGTATACTTTTTGGAATTTTTATCTCTTATTTAGATCTTGCAATCTGCTGGATTAACTGGGTTATTTTAACCAAGCAAAGCTTTCAAAGGAAGGTATGTTCTTGCAAAACATTCTTTGTTATTTTAGTCATGTTACTTATGACCTGCTATGCTAATATTATTATGCTATGTGCCTTAAAAATTTTGTTTCTCATCTAATTTTTGATAGGACCAAGATCTGAGGAACTTATTTTGCCCAAACATAAAGAAAAGAATAAACAACTTATCAATATAAAAAAATAATATGCAAGGTGCATTAGTTTTTTGTACCGATTGCCTCTTTTTTTTACTTTAAAATAATTGAAAATTTCAGTTTCACAATATAAAAAAGATCAATGTTCAATTTTGCCACTTTGTGATAAATAGGATGTCCATTATGCTTAACAAAATGGGGGATTTTAATACAGTCGACCCCTCTAAGTGTACACTCTGTAAGTGCACACCCCCTCCAAGTGCATGCTTTCATTCATTCCCAAGCTTGGGAATTAGAGATAAGTGCACACTCCCTTCCCCCTGCACTGCACGGTCTTTTTTCATTCTCATCTATATAAAATTCTAAGTGCACTCCCGTGACTTTCACGTGATCGTTGTCCAATAAAAATCGTGCGACGTTATTAAATTAAAATACTTTTTCTTTAAAGAATTGATTTTTTGTAAGAGATGATAAAGAATTAAATTTTATACTTAGTAAATAATAATAAAGAATATAAAGATTTATAATTAGTAAAAGGTAAAGAATTAAATTTATTAGTATGACAGAATTATTTTGTAAGAGGTGTTCATTTTTATTAAGTGACAGGGAAATAAAGAATTCTTTCTTTTTAATAGATACAAAGGTTATTAAAACAAAAGTACAAGAATGCAGACAAAGAAGCTTATTTAGTTCAAATTATTATAAATAAGTCATGAATCAAGAATCTTATTTAATAACCAAACTCTTGTAACCAGCTTTAAAAATAAAACTTCTATTATAAATTAACCTTATCATTAATAAATTAAAAATAATATATACTCTTACATTCCCAACCATCTAATTTTTGCACTCACACTCATCTCATTAAATATTTTATTCATTTATTGCTTCTAAATAAAATGTCTCTGTTGTATGTGAAATTGAAATATTATGGAGTGGGGTGAAATTCTGATTGGTTGATTTGAATTTCACATAATTTCATTTTCACATACAACAATCTCCAAAAAGAGTAACTTTATCTAATTCTCAAAAATATGAATTTTGTTTATTCTAGTCAACAAATAAAACTAGTTAATTCTCTTGATAGATACATTAGTTTGAAAACAATAAATACAATGAGGCAAACTACAATAGAATCTTATCTTAATCAATAATTATATAAAAAATTTTTTTAGTGATAATAATGTTATAATTAATTAATTAAATTTTTATTCTTTATTGGAGTCACGTGCAACCAATGAAATGCATTGTTTCTCTAAGTGCACACCCTCTCTTAGTGCACACTATCACTCATTCCCAAGGAGGTGCACTTAGAGGGGGTTGACTGTAATCAAATTACTAAATTTTGATCCCTGAAATTCTCAGCAATACAAATGTTCACTTTGTCTGGTTTTGTTGCAGTATGCCCCAATTAATGAAAAAAATTGTTCACAAACTTTTGTCAGGGTAGTGTATATTGTGCCAAGTTTACTACTAAATTATTTGAATTGAATATTTAATCCAAATCTGGTAAATTAGATTCAATTATTAGGAAAGCTAAAAATAAATGATATGAGCCACCCTTTTATTAATATTGGGGGTTTATAGGTAAATAAGGGGGGTGTAGTAGATTGGTGGTATTTTTCTTTTTTTAAGGGCAGAGTGTAGTCATGTGATTTTTCATAACAACTAAAAGGATAAATTTTTACAGTGACGATCATTTTCTTATGTCACACATTAAAATAAATTATAATAAAATAATTCTAAAACGGAGGCCATAAATAATCAAGCTATGGTGCAAGTCACCTAGTCCCGCAACTTGCTGCGCCTCGTGGCCAATTTTGGGAAAAATATCAAAACTCAGAAATTGTAAGTTATGCTCAAAAATGCAATAAAATTTTATATCATGTGACCTTTAATGGTGATACA